GCTCCACCCATCTGGCAACCACGGCATCATTCTGCCCCAGCTTTTTCAACCCGAAGACGCCCTACCCGCCCCCCCCCCCCCCCCCCCCCCCCCCCCCCCCCAATTCAATATTGCTGAGCATTTCTACCAAGGGCTTACATTCCCAACTTCTACAGAAATATAGTGTCCATCAGGGATCTTTGTCAAAGTGAAGTAGAGTCGAGGGTAGAGTTGCTTTTCTCTACGCCATTAGCTGCTGTAACAGCAAATTTAAAGGTCCTATCTGAGCATTAATGAGTGGAGAAGTTAATGCATGAGTGAGTGAATGGTTAAGTGGAAAGGGAGTAAAGTGAGTGAGTAGGATTGGACGGAAATAGGTAGGGTTTATTGGGTGAGTGGGCAAATGGTGGAGGCCAGTGAAGTGGATAACTGGGTAATATGTTCAGGGCATAGTTGGATGGTATTCAGGTCTGGGGGATGCAAGTGGATGGTTGGGGATTTGAGGATAGTTGGGTCAGTGATTAATGAAATGGGAGACATGATCAGATCAGGGGGAGGAGGTGAAACTGGTTAGGTCGGGTCAGGAGGTAGGAGGTCAGAGGATAGTCAGGTTGGGTCATGAGGATAGTCAGAAGGGGCATGAGGTCAGTCAAGGTATTGGGATGATTGGGGTGTTCAGTTATGTAATTATTCAGATGTTAGATTAGATCTTAATCAGTCTAACAATATCCTGTTAACAGCTGCTGAAATGCCATGGTTCCTATATGACTCCTACCACCAGCCCACATACTCAAAGAATATAATTCATCAGACTCAGCTTTGTGCCTCAACAGTTCCTTGGCATCTCTTGCTTCGGCAAATAGCTCCCACTCAGAACAGCTTTTGCTAAGACTGAAAAATACATTTCTATGTGCAGCTTTTAGAAATATTAAAACAATTTTTGTTTGCATATTTTGATGCATATTTTTAAGCGGCCATATAATTCCAATGCTGGCTGCACCCTTGAAGATTGATACATATTACAACTTTTCACTTTCTTCCTTGGGAAGATCCCAGATTCAATCTTGGAAATTTTGGTAGAATGGTTAAGGAAAAAAGTCACTTGCTGGAAGTTGTGGTTGAAACAGGATTTGATTAACAAAATCTACACATATTTCCAAGTAGACTGAGGAACTATACCACACTATGCATAAGCAAATACATTTTGTATAGTCTTTAATAGCTCTGCACATTTAGCAAATCAATTTGCAGTTACATAACCCCCATGGAGTCAGTTTAAGCCTTGCCCACAATTGTCCCATTGTTGCAGCAAAAAGGTTCTTTGTATACATAAGTTTTAAATATGTTTTTCTTTTCTCCTTAAGGGAATAAAAGGCCGTTATGCTGTGGATAGCCAGACAGGGTAATCATGAGATGCTTTTCCGCAATACTGTTTTTACTTAGAAATCTAAGTAAAACTTCTGGTATTCTGAGGAGAAAATATAAATCATTCTAATTTGAAACTAGTTTGAGGGTGTTTAATTTTAGACTCAGGTCATTCAATTTCACAACTGGAGTTCATGTTGAATGACTATCCATTAAAAAGTCTGGACTATGTTTTATCAAGTTTCCTTTTTCCAGCAGAAGAAAATTGTGTTGATGACACCCTTCCTCCAATATCATGCTATGAATTGATGATGGTGACATTAGCTAACAATGGAGGAAATCATTTATTATCTTCATTGATTTTAACCCAGCAATGTTAAAGAAATAGTGATACAACCACAATTCAGGATCATGAGAGGAGCTACAGCAGTAAGTTCAAAGTATTGCCCTGAAGTTTCCATGTGAAGTCAGAATCCCTATTTCCAAACCAGAACAGACTTGCAGTTGCCCACTTAACCTTTTTGCAGTATTCTGGGCAAACATCCAAGCCAGGAGCCTTGGTGGCTGAAGCAGTGAAGATGAATCTCAGAATTCAGGCAGGCAGCAGAGAGGATTGTGCTGGAACCACCCCATAAATCCCTCCCCAATTCTGCAACTGCCCCCCCACCTCCTCAACCCAGATGGACTAGGGAGTACAGGTGCCTAGTTGGTGAGGATACAAAATGAAGGGTGGGGGTGAAGAGTCCCAAGTGCATGAGAAATACAGAGGTGGGTTTGGGAGATTTAGTATGTGAGGGAGTAAAGTATCAAATGGGTGAGGGCATTATGTGGCGAGGGTCGATAGTAGGTCAGGTGGACAGATCATGGTAGTGGTGGCAGTATGCCAGAGAGGTGAAGTTGGTGGCTCAGGGTGGATCTAATCAGTGGGCAAGGGGTTAGGTTAGAGTAGGTCTGGTCAGATTAAGTAGGGAGGGAATAGGAGTTGGGTGGGAGATGTATCAGGTATGAGTGAGGGTGATCAGGATCTGAGAGGGTTATTGGGTTCAGGGGTTATGGTGATGAGTCCAACACTCATTGTTAGGTATTTTTTGGAGGGTTCTAGACACTGGGTAATTGTCCATCAGATGTTTAGCTTCCCATGCAATTCCTGTGGAGTCAGCTGTGTCAGGAATTCCGCATGTTCCTGCACAGAACTCCTAACAATGCTGCTGTACCCATTACCTTTACATTGGAAAATCTGGGCCGTAAACGTTCCTTATTTTTGAGTTACATTTTGAGTTGCACACGGCAACAAGATAAACATTCAACACGTATTGAAACAATTTTCTTTTTCTGAAGAAGAAAACAATCGCTTTTGTAAATCAACAATGGTAGTCAGTAATATTTACACCAGTCTCAAACACTTAAAACGCTCTAAGGACGCAGCAAATATACATATAAATGTACATTCAAATTGTATTTTATCAAATTACATTCATACATTTTAATATAAAAATAAGTTCTGTGTTCATGTTCATCAAAATAGTGTTTTATAAAAATGAACGGTGTTATTTTTCCAAAAGATATGCCAAGGTAGCATAAGTAAAGGTAACAGAAAGAGTATGTGAGCAGAGGTTTTGTCCCCACAGGAAGTACACAACTTAGAGTGCTGTCATAGCTGGTTGCTCAGCAACATTGGTGGAGAGCTGTGAGTAGGTTTCTGTCTCTGTTCTTATGACAGTGCAACAATGCACATGGTAAGAATAAGCAAAAATAGTTGAAAGACATGCAGGATTTTAAATTATTCAGATACCTGTTTTATTCATGAGAAAGCTGTTCTGAGCTCCTTTCTTGTGAGAAGATTGAACATTGACTAAAAAAGTGTGGGGGTTGAACTTTATTTTTATTCAGTTCATCTCTCAATATTTCACTTTGAAATGAACCTGGTTGTTATGTTCCACTTTACTGTTATTAAGCAATCCTAAAGAAATCACTTACCTCCTGGAATTCTCTGGAATACTTTTGTTAATGTATCTCCTGATATAATGTTGTAGCTTACCATAGCTGCAAATTAAATATGGCATTTTACAAACTGGATTCATGTGCACATGATAATGAAACAGAACAAGACTCCAACACAAACTTGGAAACTTAAATAATCAAAAAGTTTTAATCCTTTTGAGTGTCTGTTTAACATTTTGTAGAAGACTGAATATCTAAATTGCCCGTAGTGTCCAGAGATGTTTAGGATAGGTGGGTTTGACATGGGAGATGCACGGGTGGGGGAATGGATCTGGGAGAGATGCTCTTTGGAGGGGTGGTGTGGACTTGTTGGACCAAATGGCCTGTTTTCACACTGTAGGGATTCTATTCATGAAAATTATTCCTTTTTTGCTTCGTACCAGTATGTAAATTTAAGAGGTTTGGGGTAGTCAAGACCAAAATATCGAAATATCATGCGAGATTAGGTTTACATTTTTCCCCAAAATAACTTTTACTGGAGGCAAAGGGGCTAATACAACAGATTTGGACAAATAACTAAACAAAAAACTTTCACAGAGGGGTATCAGATTCTATAGAATACTTTCAGGACAGTGGTATTTGAACACATGAGCCACTTTGGTCTATCCAGTGCTATACATTACTTTTGTCTCATGTCTAGATATAGCTGCTTTTACCAAAACTATTATTGACAGTTGGCAGGGACCTCTTTGATTTATTTGAGGATTTTGTGTAGGGTGCTTGGGTTGAACTGTGTGGTTCCCACCAGAAATGCTAGGGGCTGGGTTTTCCAATCAGTATGAGATTGCCAGTCCAGCTCTTCTTTATTATGTAAAGAGGGCATTCCGCATTTCTGAGAGGAGATTCCAATTAGGGCTCCCTCAGAAATCACAGTTCTTTCTTTGAGCAAAACTGTCAGAAGAAGGTAAATCACATTGCCTTTCAGAGCAGTCAGCTGCCATATTCCAAAATGTAAAGATCCTGAAAGCCTTTGTTTTAGCTGCTGTGAAATATTAAGTACATAAGATAAATATGGTGTGAGGGTAATAGGAAGGTAGGGTGTCAGGGAAGTAAGGTGTCATCTGTGTAATGTGGCAGGTGGGGAGGATGCCCAGTGGAAGGGGGTAAGGTATCAGGTGGGTAAGGGTGCAAGGGTACCAGGTAAGTAATGCCGTATTTAGGGTAAATTAGTGTGGTTGGGAGGTATTGGGACTTCAGGTAGGGAGCAAAGATGGGGTGGCAGGGAGAATGGGTGTTAGGTCTGGTGTTTTGGTTCCGGTGATGGGGGGAGGGTGGTGTCTGTTAAATAGTTACTTATGAGTTCAACTATGTTTTTATTAGTCTAAAAGTTCATGAGTAGCTATTTACTTAAATTCATATTAACCCTCTGAAGTCTCCAACTTAAAGAATCAACTAGTTTTCCCCTTGGCCCTGCCTTTTCTACATATACTTTTTGCTTCCTATTTGAAAGATTATCTGCTTACCTTGATAAAGCTTTCAAGAATGCTTCAGGTAAAACATTACACACTTAAAATTTTGTTACTGAAAAAGCTTTTTTTCCTCATTTACTTTCTCAAAACTTCTCTCAGAATTTTTGAACATACCTATTTGAACTCTTAACATTCTTTGTAATCAAAACTTTGATCTATTGCTAATTTGCTTACAAAAATTGCTTATTTAATGTTCATTACTTAAATGTTTCAAAAATATATAGTTGTCATCTTTACAGGCCTTGGAAGAAATTTAGTGATTAACCAGAGTAGAAATTAAACTCTTACCAATGAAAGGATACACGAATTGCAGGAATGAAAGGATCAAATAACCTGTTATACCAAAAGCTTTGTTCACCAGAGATTGATAAGTAGTTGTTCCAGACAGGTTCCCTCCTTTAATCAACAGTATAATAGAATAATCTATGTACAGAATGGAACAATTGTTATCTATTTAAAATTTTATTACATTAATCTTTAATTGCTATCATTCTGTAGTATATTTAAGTATTAATGAAGTGTTTAAAAATACAATTCCTAGAATGGATTACCTGTTACATATGCAACCAGAAAAAGGAGCAGTATTCCGAAAGGAAAACCAGCTTGTTTCATTGAATAAGGTAGTCCTGACAACATACAAAAACAGACAAAAGAATACAGTGAATTCATTCTGTGAGAGCAGAAGAATGCATCAGTGTTTTTGATTAAAACAAATTGATGTTTGTGTCAATATTTTTTAAAATAAATTAAAAATAGCAGTTAAACTGAGTGTAATATATCTCTACCATGTAAAATCCTTTCTTCTACGTTAAAATCCATTTGCCCTTGTTAATCATTCATTGTGCATATCTGAACATTTAAAAAAGCATTTCAACTATTGCATCATTAATCTATATTACTTATAAAACATTACTTCTAATTCATATTTTTATATGAAAATGTAATATATGATGTAGTTGTTTAAATTCATGCCATCTCATCTTCTTTTAGTCCAATGTTTTACATTTAAACATTAAAATGAATGTTTTTCAGGCTACAAATTGGACTATTACATTATAACATGTTAATTAAATAATCCAAATTATTCATACATCATCCACCTTACAAAGATACTACTTTATTGCACATATGCCCTTAATTATGATATCAAAACAATAAAGATATTGCAGAATATATGGGGAATACTTTATTTTCCAGTGCATTAATTGGTTGACTATTTCTTTTAAAAAAAATTCTAAATCACCCCCAAGGCCTCAAGTCGTTAATGCAATGAGTAATTGAGTTACATTAATTGAGAAAACTTAAGCTTTTGATCTGAACCTCTCTCAGACTAATTACCCTACGATAGATCTTATCTGTATCAGCACTTGGGATAATCAAAATAATGTGAAACATCTGTCAGAGAATGCAGGGAACCATTTTAAGTTTGGTTTACTTTGGAATATCAGCTACTCCCTTAAACAGTCTGACCATCTTGTCACCATTCTGTCCAACATTCAATCTTATGAAAGCACAAATAGAAGTGTTGTAACAGTATATATTTCAAATCTGCATTGGAAAATTGGAAATTGTGGTCCAAGTCATAACAGCAGATTAGTAGAGGTTGCAACATGTGATACCAAGTGAAACAAATAAAATTAACAACACAGTGGGCTCAAGAAGCAACTCTGTGTTGACAAGGGTTTGATCAATATGACACAAAAGTGGAAAATGTGTTGATCTAACAGATGGAACCAGATAGACCCTCAGTGATTGTAAAAATGTTGCATTAGAGATAAAGATAAAGGAATCAAAACCAAATGTATTTCACTGGTTATCTTGGAGGTTTAAGAGCACCTCACCCGAGCTAATCAGAAGGATTGTTTTCCAAAAATAAAACAGTGATAATGGATAACATTAAATTGATTTAAATATTTTTGTGTGTAACTAAGCAGATTAATAAGGATGGTGTGGTTGATGTGAATATACAGACTTTCAAAAGGCCTTGGTAAAGTACTACATAAAAAGTTGAAGCCCATTGGTTTAAACAGACAGTGGCTCTCTGGATGTATAATTAACTATAGTAGGTGGCACTGAGCAGTGGTAAGCAGCTTTTCTTCAAACTGGAGGGAAGTGTTGGAATGATTGCTCTTTTAAATATATATTAATATTTGGATATACAGAACATAACTTCAAAGTTTGCGTGCGATATGAAATTCAGAAATATAGTAATCAGTAAGAAGGGTTGATTTCAGGAGGACTGAAAGAGAAGTGGGCATGCACAGTGGAATCATTTTTATACAAAGAAATGTGAAGTGATTCATCTATTGGAAGAATGAGCATAGACAACATGGTAAACAATATGGTTCAATTTTAAAAACCATGCAGGAACAGCATGGCTCGAGGGTGTATGTTCACAAGTTTTTGAAGGTGGGAGGACAAGTTCAGAAGGTTGAGATCTTTAAATTTATAAATAGAACCAAATAGTGCAAAAGCAAATATGTCCTGCTGAAACACTTACTAAACACTGTTCATGCCTTTTTTGCAGTCAAATGGCCAATCCTGGCTACTACACTTTTAAGACAAATGTAAAGACTTTACAGAGGATGCAGAAACGGCACCAGGAATAAAAGGCTCCAATGTGATGAAAGAAACTGTGATTATTCTCTGTACAACAGAGAAGGTTCAAGTGAAATTCGATGGTTGTGTTCAAAATCATTAAAGGCTTTTAGAGAATAAATAAGGAGATACCATTTCAAATGATGGATGTAGAATATTTTGTATGTATCGAGGCCTGGATAATATTCAGGCTCAGGCTGATAAGTGGCAAGTTATACTCGTGCTCCACAAGTGTCAAGTGCCAGGCAATGGCCATTTACAACAGGAGAGAATGTAATCATGTTTAACAGAATAACAAAGGCTGAACCCTCCACCATCAACCATCCAAAGTTCGCCATTAATCAGATATTTAAAAAGATCTGTGGTATAAATACAGTTGCTATGTAGCCTGGATATTCTGTGTCTACCTCAAAACCCTCCAAAATCTGTTCATCATCTTCAAGGCATTAGACAAAAGTGTGATAAACAAAAACATTTGAGAACCCAACATCATCCAAGAAAAGGAAGTCAGATTTGACACCCATCTACCACCTTAAACATTCATTCTTCCACATAGTTAGGAAAGAATTTAATAAAGGAATTAGAAAGGCTAAAAGGGGTCATAAAAAAGTCATTAGCAAACAGGATTAAGGAGAATCCTAAGGCTTTTTATACATGTATGAAAAGCAAGAAGATGGCCAGGCAAAGGGTTGGCCCACTCAAGGACAAAGGAGGGAATCTGTGGAGCCAGAAGAGGTAGGTGAGGTCCTAAACGAATACGTTGTGTCGATATTCACCAAAGAGAAGGCATTGTTGGAAGACGATCTCAGGGAAGGGAGTGTCAAATTTCTAAGCCAAGTTGCTATTAAAAAGTAAGAGGTGTTGTGTGTCTTAAAAAGTATTAAGGTAGATACTCCCCTGGGTCCTGATAGGATCTATTCCAGATTATCCAGAGAACAAATTGCTGGAGCATTGACAGGACATCTTTGTATCCTCTTTGGCCACAGGTGAGATCACAGAGAACCAGAGAATAATGTTGTCCCATTGTTTAAGAAGGTTTACAGGGATAATCCTGGAAATTACAGGCCTGTGAGCCTCACGTTTGTGGTAGGGAAATTATTGGAAAAGATTCTCAGGGACAAGATCTATACGCATTTAGAAGCAAATGGACTTCTTAGCAATAGACAGCATGGTTTTGTGCGTGCCTCATCAACTTAAGTTTTTTGAGGACGTGACAAAGATGGTTGATGAGGAAAATGTGGTTGATGTTGTCTACAGTGGACTTCAGTAAAGCCTTTGACAGGTCCCTCATGGCAGATTGTACAAAAGTTGAATTCACATGGTATTGGGGTGAGCTGGCAAGATAGATACAGAACTGACTTAGTCATAGGAGACAGAGGGTAGCAATGGAAGGATGCTTTTCGGAATGGTGGGTTGTGGCAAATGCTGTTCCACAGGGATCAGTGCTGGGACCTCTGCTGTTCGTGACTTACTAAAATGATTTGAAGGAAAATGTAGTTGGTCTAATTAGTAAATTAGACTCAAAGATTGATGGAACTGCAGATAGTGAGGAGGATTGTTAGAGGATACAGCAGGATATAGATCTGGCAGCATCTGTGGTGAAACAAAAAAAAAAAAAAAAGAGTTAACACTGCAAGTCCAGTGACCCTTTATCAGAACTGAAAACAACTGGGTAATGGTTGTATCAGTGCTGATGACTGGGGAGTGAGGTGGAGACAGGAAAGAATGAGATGGAGAAATGGAGACAGTGCCTCAGACAGAGAGAAAAGGAGGGATAGTAAATCAGGGAAGGAGAGAAAATGAATAGATGATAACGGGGATTATGAAGAATTGAGAATGGGATGGTTTTGCTGAGAGCAACCCATGCGGGACAGCACCTGAGGGTGTGGGAGTCATTTATGAATATGGAGGGAGGAGTCAGCATCAATGCCATCATTTCCTAGCTGCTACCAGTTCTGATGAAGGGTCCCTGGACTCATTGTTAACTCTGTTTTTGTCTCTACAGATGCTGTCAGACCTGCTGCATTTCTCCAGCACTTTTTATTTCTGTTTGCTTCAGATTTCCAGCATCTGTGTTTCTTCATTTTAGTTTAGCCCTTTCAGAGATCTGGCACAGGCAAGACAGTAACATGCAAATGATTGGTGAAAATTCTAAAGGTGAGAATTAATCTCCATTTGGAGAGCAAAGATTTGATCAGGGATAGTCAGCATGACTTTCTTAGAGGGAGATCATGCCTAAGAAATTGGATGGAATTTATCAAGGAGGTGATCAGATGTGTGAATGAGGATAGTGCAGCTGATGTTGTTTTTATGAATTTCAGCAAGCTTTTGACAAGTTCCCACACAGAACATAAAACAATACAGCACAGAAATAGGCCCTTCGGCCCACCATGTCTTTACTGACCATAATGCCATTCTAAACTAACACCATCTGCCTGCACATGGTGCCTATCCCTCTATTCCCTTTGCCTGGCCACCTTCTTGCTTTTCATACATGTATAAAAAGCCTTATGATTCTCCTTAATCCTGTTTGCTAATGACTTTTTATGACCCCTTTTCACCCTTCTAATTCCTTTATTAAATTCTTTCCTAACTATGTGGAAGAATGAATGTTTAAGGTGGTAGATGGGTGTCAAATCTGACTTCCTTTTCTTGGATGATGTTGGGTTCTCAAATGTTTTTGTCTATCACACTCTTGTGATGGTCAAAATTCCTCTCAGCAATGCGTTCCAGACACCTACCACCCTCTGTGTTAAAAAACTTGCCTCACACGCCTCCTTTAAACATTCTCCCTCTCACCTTAAACCTATGCCCACTAGTGTTTAACAGTTCAAACCTGGGAAAAAGACCGACTATCTATGCCTCTCAATTTTATACACTTCTACCAGTTCACTGCTCAGCGAAAACAGTCCAAGGTCATCCAACCTCTTCTCACACCTAATACATTCCAATCCAGGCAACATCCTTGGTAAACGCCTTTTGCATCCTGGTAATGATCTCCACATCCTTCCTATAGTGTGGTGACTAG